CCTTAGGATTTTCTTCGTGAACCTTTCTTAAGGTCTCCCAAGCCACCTTAGCACTTTTACAATTCTTTATCAGCTTGAACACATTCTTATCAACTCCATTGAATATGGTATTCAATGCTTTGGAGTTTCCTTGAGATGATGCATCATCATTATCATCCCAATCTTCTTTAGGTTTCAACATATTAATGGCCTTCCCTTTTGCATCCAAAATATTTGGAGGATCCCATCCTTTGACAACATTTTTCCAGGCCTTGTTACCCAGGGATTTTATGCACACCTCTATACGAGGTTTCCAACTGTCATAGTTGGTACCATCCAAAATAGGTACTTTAATCACTGTTCCATTATCCTTGTCCATTACACCATAAAGTAACTTCCCTGAATCTCACCCAGAGTCAGAGCAGGATGCCTGCTCTGATACTAATTGAAATTCTAACTATCAGATACCAGATGTCCTAAGAGCTATCGAGACACTGGATTCGACTTCAACACGCAACACCAAGATATATAAACAAAATAAACAGTGATGAAGGTAAATAACACAAAGATATGTTTACCCAGTTCGAACAACCTTCCTACTCAGGGGACTACCAAGCTAGTGATGAAATTAACTAGATAATATTAATTTATAGACCTCATAGCAAACATCCCAGTTTACAACCTACACACTTAATCACTACCATTTGCTTAACTTCTACCTAAGACACACATAGACACGAGGTCCTCCTTAAATCCCTATTTAATTACACTCAGCAATTGGAGCAACTCTAAACACAAGTATAGAACAAAACTGAAAGTCACTCTTCCAAGACACACAAAACTAAATTCTTAAAAGCTTATGAGAATTTGACACACAAATACTCAATGCCTAACAACTTATGAGCATCTGACACACATATGTTCAATGCTTAAAAGTTTATGAACATCTGACAGAAACTTACAACCCAACAATAAGGATTCTAAAACCCTAGCAAAACACACACACAAATTCCACCTAATACTAGGAATACACCAGTCTATTTATAACATTATTCTGGATTGGGTTGGGCTTCAAAACCACAACAGTGAGGCTGCACAAAGTCTGCAAATTCTTCTCCAAAAAATTATGTCTTCAATCATTAGTTTCCTAAAATGTCTCCATATTTAGAAACTACACATATCTTCAAAAACCAACATAGAATATCTGATTTTGTCAATCTTGGATGCCACATAAGCTAACTAAATATTCCATGAATATTTAGTAACTAACAAATAAGCTTAAACATAACTATCAGCTGCTACAGACGCGATGTCATATCCTCCGGGTTGAGACATTTTATACGACATGTTAAAAACTGCAAGTTGGAACATCTTGTTCAACATGCTACTGCCAAGTTGGTTTTACCAAAATGTATGCCAATCATAATTTTAGAGAAATAACAAAACCATAAAACTTATATTTATTTAATCGTATCAAGATTACATCGTTGATAATAATACATACAAAATATGTTTTTGTCCCAATCTCTACAAAAATCATCCTTACTATCACCCAACCATTTATTCAATGTTGAATGTGATGATTCGACCTTGTTAGTTATTGTATTATCGATGTGTCTAACATGATCGGTCCATGCACAAATAGTGGGAAATGTGTTGAACAACTTAATACTTTCGGGATGAGTCTAAAATATGTCACGAATAATGACTTTATCATCACAAACTATGTACCTAGAAACATAATGGTTTTCATCCAAAAGTTTCAAAAGTTGTTGCATTTCAGATCTAGGACCCCTTATCTCCATGTTGTTTCGATAACACACATTGTATACCTGCTCGATATTTGAAACACTTTCTGGGTATTTTTGTTTAAAATCTGCAAGTATATTTTTCAGCATCACTCTGATTAAAGACATGTTCGAAACAATTTCCTTCTTCTCCGGTTTAAGACGACATACAATGGGATGACCGACTAGGTTTGTTTGCAAGGCATGATTATGTATTCTAGAAATCACATTAAATTTTCACATCTCATCCACGTTACAATATCCACATAATTTAAACGGACAACCACATTTTCTCATTCTAGTGTCATCACGTTTTAACTTATGAATCGGGGGAACATATGCCACTTCTCTCACATCTCATGGTTACAAATGCTTGTATTCTATTTGAACCATTGTCGAACCTTCCGATTACAATGCCAAACCCGGAATTCCTGGCTACCACGCGAATCCATTGAAGCATATGTTCATGAGCAGTAAACAATTGTTCATTTATGAAACATTGGCCAACATCTATCTCGATAAGACAATTTAACATCATCACTCACTTCTTCTGATTTAACATCATGCTTCATTTCAGTTGGTTTAACATTATCCTTCGTTACATCCTATTTTACATCGTTATATATAACAACTTTGGGAAACATATTCGAGTGAATCATATCTAATAAGAACCAAAACAAGAAAATGCTTAAAAACCGGTAACACATGAATTCAGATATACATATTCGAAATATCATAGGTGAGTTCGGATATGCATATCCGGACAAGGCGAACATTTTTTCATCGCAAACACAAGACTAATTCAAGCAATGAAGGATGAAATGAGAGAACTTTAACTCAAATTGCACTTTATTTTACTCTATTTGATGTGTTAAAATGCAATAAATCTGGTTTAGAATAAAAAAGTTGGTTGAAAATGAAGCTTTTTTTAAGGGTTATGTAAGTAGTTTGGTTATGGAAGGAGTTTGAAGAGTGAGAAAGATGATCATACAGGGCGGTCATATATTCAAGTCTTCTCTGAATTTTTTCGAAGATGTATCTTCGAAAATATCACTGAGTGATTTAAAAAAATCTTCTAAATAAAAAAATATTTTTGAAGATGTATCTGCGATTTCTTCGTTGAGTTTATTTGAAAATACATTTTCCAAACTATATTTTATCAAAAATGATATTTCATATATTTGGACATATATCTCTAAATAAATCCAAAAATATTTTAAAACTTTCAGAAGCAGGCTTCATTATATAAGAGTGTAATGAAAATACCTTAAATTTTGGTTGAAAATTTGGAATTTAGAAGATAGAGATTTCAAACACAAAGCATAAAATCTATAAAAAAATCTAAAATTAATGTGGCACTGTTAAAACCTACGTGACATCCACATTGCAATTACATATTACACTAGTCATCTCAAATTTAAGGTCAATATCAATTAAACAAGTTTATCTATTTTGACAACACAGTGGATAAAATATTCCTTCCTTCTCATAAATGTGTCTCATTTATATATATTTTTAAATAATTGTTATTTTACAATATCAATAATATTTTTTATTATTATATCTCTATTTATTAGTTTTCATTTTATTTAATACTCCCTCCGGTCTCATTTATAAGAAAAAATTAATTTTTTAGATACATTAAATAAGTAATGTATTTGGACAATATTGTCCAAATACATTACTTATTCAATGTACATAAAAAGTTAATTTTTTCTTATAAATGAGACCGGAGAGAATATTTTATTAACTATAATTAATAAAAAATAAATAATATTATTTTTCATTAAAATCAATCAATTTAATTATTTTTTTTAAAAATCACACATTATTCAAATAAAATAATTTTTATTTTTATGAGACAGAAAAAATATGTAATATTAAATTAAACATTATTGTGTCATTAGATCTTGACCTAAATAAAATATTACGAAATATATTAGATTAGTTTAAAAGATTATATAAAATTGTAATGATTTTATTTTATAGTTTTACAATATCTATAAAACATTATATAAATTTCTAAATATATATTTAAAATAACAAAACTGAGCATCAAAACCAAATAAAAAACAAAAATAAACAAAATGCAGGAGCTGAATCTTTGGCCTTGTATCAGATAGAAGTTGGAGTCGCACTGATCTCAACGCAGCCGGAGTTCGGCGTCGCAGGAAGGAAGACAGTCGGAACCACTGGAAAATCAATCGAAGGTTTACCTCTCTCTTCCTTTTTTTTCATCCTTTTTAAATTTCCCTTCCCCTCTCCCAGTACGGCCCGCGCGAGGATGAGATTCCACCGCGATAACCGCCCCCTCCGTAAGGAACCGCACCGCAGCATAGCTCCGCTCTGCACCGCGATTCCACGGTTAAGTTTAGGGATGTAATTTTGAGTTTGTATTGTGTAGTTCAATGTGTTTTAGGTTTTGGCTAATGGCACATACACATGTTAGATTTTTCATATCTGTTATTGCTTATGTGCATTGCACAAGATTTCTAGGTCTGGATGCTTAATTATGTGTGGCAGGTATAGGGATTAAGTATGATTGGTGAGGGTTAAGTGTGAATTAGGTTTTGTTCTGCCAAGTTTTCTGATTGAATCACTTCAAATTTTTAAAGCTTCCAATTTGTAATTGGATCTAAGGACTGTTTACTTCAAGATATATCATACAGTGGTTTGTGTTGTAAGGCATTCCAATAAAAATTGTAACCAATTTAAGTACATTTTAGAGCTAGTTCAGGGGATAACCTATTGAAAAGATGTATTATATGTAGAAACAAAGTTAGGTGCATTGGTGGTTGCAGAGTGGAAGAACAGGTGATATATTTGTTCTTTGGATGTCCTGTATTTTTGGACGTATGGAGATGAATGTTAAGATGGATGGGGATTTGTGCTGTTATGCACTCCAATCAATAACCACATTTCTATCAACTTAATGCTTTATTGTGAGTGAGTGGGTACACAGATTTGTGGTATAAATGTATGGTGTGTTTTGTCAATATGGTAAGTGGTAAGTAGGAGGGTGTTTCAGAATAAAGTTTTTGAACTGTAAGCCTGTAAGACATAGTGGAAGACGTGATGGGCTTTCTTGGAATTGGTTCTGGCTGATCTTTAGAACGAAAGGCTTCCAATACTCCTTCTCCAAGTGGGAGGCTAATCCCGTTGCGTGCTTTGGTATGCCTTGGTTTATAAAGGTTAGAGGAGTTATTTAATACTAAAATTTTGTTGGCATGGAGGATGTATGTGCTGATTAGTGTTGGACATCTTTGCAGTATAATTGATGCGGCGAGTGAAGGTGTTAGGTGCATAACTGGGTTTTACCAATTGCAGAAGGTGGGTTGTTGCAGGATATGTGGGATGGTTATGCTACATGAATACCTGCAAAGGGTCTGCAACTCTATTGACAAATTAATCTCTCCAAGTATACAAGGGGATATACGGGGGATTGGATGGTTAAGAGCTGAGCTTCTTTTAGGGAATATTAATCATTTTTCTACAATTGAACGAGGTCTTGCTTTGAAATTTGATCATTCAGTTTGTTGTTTCTGATATTACAATTGCAGGATTAGTATGCTGCTTGTAAGCTTGTGCTTTATTCATAGTTGAATCTCATGTTGTGTGAGTTCTGGGTTAACTGGTTTTAATGAAAGCTGGATTCCCCAAGATAATGGTTGTTGTGAAGGAGAGTGCGATCAATGATTATTAGGGAGTATTGTCAGGCTTGTAAAGGCAGGAGCAGATATTATAGTGGGGGAGAATTTTGCTTTTCATGTGAGGCTGAGTTGTCTTGCGAGTTGGGTGGGATAAAAATTTCAAAAAGCATATGATTGTAGTATTATATAGGATGAAATGCGGCTGAATCACTTGCCAAATTTTGAAGCAAGGGAATAAGCAACAAAGGTGGTTTTGACTAGGATTGATTTTTTCTGGTTTTCCTAGTCTTACTGAAATATCTGGATTTGCTTGGTTTTATTTTTTTTGTAATATGTAAGTTGACTCTCATTTGTTAAGCTAAATGCACTGTTATGCTTCTTGTGCCTTGTTTTAATGAATTTGCTTTTCATAAACAAAAAATTTAAAGCTAGTTCAGTGTTATGTTGATTTAAGTACTCTGTTTCAATTCAGACAATAAGACTCAACTTCTACTTTACCAAACACCTCTTTTAAAAGTATTTTGTGAGGGCTTAGAAAACCTAACTGGACCTGAAGTGATGAGTTTCTCTGCTTAATGCCTTTCCTTTTCTAGGGTAACTCTGTTAAGACAATGGCAATATTTGCTACTTTACATTATAAATTCTTTCTTCACTTGAATTGAAGTTAATTGTCACCCACTTTCTATTTTCTAAAGAGGAATTAGTTACTAATTTACAGTGTAAAGATAATTTGTACCTTTTATGTAAAGAAAAGAGTCTAGAATCTATGTAAGGTTTGAAAGATATATAGAATATTTGGAAGAAGAAAGAATCAAACACAGCCAATGGCTGGTTCCCGTGTAAAAACCAGGAAAGAGGTAGATCTCATGATGATTCTGGCTTCAATAGTAAGTGAGGATCTGCCACACACATGGTAAGTTTTAGCTTTTATGTTACATGCCAAGACCTTTCAAATTACATGCCAAGACCTCTCAAATTACATGCCAAGACCTTTCAAATTACATGACCTGTATCATACATGTCTGAGGAATACAAATTACAATTATTAACTATAACATCCTTGAAACAATTAACCCGAAATCTAGTTGCAAGAAAACAACTCCCAAAACGTTATGCCTGATGTCCCTGGTCTTTACAAATTTGACACTTGAACAATTGTCTTAAATCTGACATAAAATGCTACCCATAAACAAAAGTCATGAAAATTGGTTAGAATATCTTGAAAGTATAAATATCACAAACCTCTATTTTGTTTAAAATCTTTTCTACTGTTTAGTACCAATATATCTCTAGCTTTATCACTTATGTCTGGTAAATTGTGCAGGAGTTACCATAGTGATATTTTTCTAGCATGGGTGAATTCACAATTCAGATTAGCAATGACCTTGTTAATAAGCTTGTTGATGATCCAGTGATAAAGAAGAAAACTAGAAGGGTCAAACGTAAGGTGGCAAAAGAAACTGAAAAGCCCCAATATAATGTAGCTGAAAAAACCGAGATCGCGCCTGCTCCAGCATGGCCAGTCCAGGCCCCTTTGCTTGTACCTGCAACATTGCCAGCACACCCTTCCCAGTCAGAGTTAGAAAGCATTCGGTCTGTGCTTCATGAAAGTGAAAAGGTCTTGGAAAGATTGCAGAAGCAGGAGAATCAAATGTTGCAGGAAGTAACCGAAAAGGCTAAGGATCTCCATGAGAAAGAGTATAAGCTTCCAGACCCAAAACCTGAACGTTGCATGGCTGAGAGGCTTGCTTCGTTAACATGTTACAAGGAACATATCAAAGACCCTTTGAAGTGTGCTGGTTTTGTTAACAATTTTGCTGATTGCTTACGTAAGCTTGGCCCTTTAGGTGGCAAATAAGATGTCCCGGGAAGTCGATTAGAGAGAAATTCATATGAATGAAATGCAAATAAACTTGTAAACTACATATTGACAAACATTCTGTTGCTACCAATTTTGTGTAACATTTTCTTCTCAACATTGAACTGTTTAGTTCACTGCCAGAGACATTGTCTGTTTGGAATTTGAACATTTCGTTATATTGTGTTGTCCACATGCTAGATGTTTCTCCATGCCATGCTATAAAGAAAATTCAGTTCTGTTCCAAAAATATAGATGTTACAAAAATTCAGAGAGGAAATATTTTCTGTATTTTTTGTCTACCAGCCTAATGATCAGAAAGTGAATTTTCCCGCTTATGGCATTAATTTGTATGATTAATGACCTCAGTTTTTCAAAGATTCGTATCACCAAAGGCACCAAATACTCGCAGATTGCCCTTGGGCTTCTAGTATAAAACAACTACCCGAGAAAAAAATGTGTCTCGAGAAGGAATAATAGGGAAAGCAATTTCTAATCCTATGCATAGTTTCACCTCTGAAAATTTAAAAATGTTACTAGGTAAATTTGAAGATGCATCTTCGAATGCACAAAATACTACTAATAAAAAAAATTAATTCACACATACAACTCCGAATTAACCTAAGGAAAAATTCAGAGTTGCAACTCCAAAATTTCCTTTTGTTATTAGAAAATCAAACAACCTTTCATTTATTAAGAAAGTTAGTTCGGAGATGCATATGCAAACCATGTGTGGACATAATTCGGAGATGCATCTCTGAATTGTTGCCCGAGTGATTTTGACATAATGTTTTCTAAGTTTGTGGTGTTTTCATCGAAACTAATTTCTATGTGATTAAACTTATTTACCGTTATTTGTTTCAACGAATAATAAAAATGAATATTATAGAATCATGTAAAGCTTTAATAAAACCGAATATCATAGAAGTCGAATATAAAAATACAATAATTATTCACAAAGTCGATTAAAATTAAACAAAATATAATCAAATGCATACTCAATTGTGTATGTCTAATCCTCACACCCTGACTCTTCTGCCTACGACAACCCAAGGCATTCTGTGCCTCAAAAAGAATGTCACGTGCTAGCTGCACCGCTTCCTCGCCACCTCTCTCGAACAATTCAAAATCGATGTCCTCGATTGTAATCTGCATGATGGTCTGACAGATCGGCAAGACGTCAATAACATGATCATCCAGTGTCTACGCATTCTCCAGGATCTCTTCATAGGTAGGCCTAGGTGGAGGTCCAAGAGTGTCCCGGATCATGTAAGGATGTGACACGTTATAGAACCATGTCATGTAACCATCCAGATAGGACCAATCCGATGTGATTGTCTGTGCCCGATACTCCTTCGGTACCATATGATTCTCAAATCCGCCAGAATGGCCTACAGGTCCTTGCGGACAATAGTGATGGGAGCAGTCTGGAAGGGGGACCTGAGAATAATCTAGACGTATTCAAACTGCCGCATACACCGCTCAGACAGATATCTGCACATGATGTTGGTCCCACATGCCAACCATCGAAAATATAAGGAAATGAGGTCGAATGACACTTTGTTCCGGTGACTACTATATGGCCTCCATCTTACGTTGTCAAGCTGAGTCCGGTCAATATACACATGGTATGATAATATATGATCATTCCTCCTACTAGGAACACATCGGGAAGCATATGGCCAATCATGAGTATATAACGACACACACTAAAACTCGTGGATGTGATGAAAGTGAGCAAGGATCCATCCCTGAAAACGAATAAGAAATAAAAGTATTATTAACAATTGTGACAAAAATATTAGTTTGTAACAATAGTGAAATTTGGAAATTACCATAAGCAGGGTGCATGAGCCTGTCATCTACTTTGTCATCCATTTGCAACCTTCGTTCACGTTGGAGTACAGGTAAATCAAGCACGCCGCCCCCTCCCCCCAATTCTGCTCGTGTATGAACTCCAAGTCAATAAAGCATTGAGGTAAGCCACATCCACGTAGGTGACACTTTTGTCTACAAACATGAACATGCCAACCAAGAAAAGGATGAAGTACCTCACGACGCACTCCTTGTGGTGGATAACCTAGAAATCATCAGTGTCCGGGTGTTCAGATGTGTCCAAATTTTTTTCATACATTTTCGCTAACCAAGAAAATTTGCATGTGCATCTCTGGTGCTTCGACACTTCTCAAAGGCATCCTCATAATCAACTCCCCAAAAAGTCACCATCATATCAATGGCTTCAGACATGCTGATTTTAGAATGATCAAACAACCTTCCTCTGATGGGAAGGTGTAGGAGCCATGCTACATCATTTAGCGTAATAGTCATCTCATCAATAGGGAGGTAGAAAGATGACATATCATTGTGCCATATCTCGGAAAATGCAGCCTGCATGTCATGTATGATGTTGGTGTACTCTGAAGCACAAAGATCGGTAAACCCATAGTTATGGAGCATATTTTTAAACCAGACGTCCTCAGACAGATAAAGATTGTGAACCTTTCTTGCATGATTCACATATTTCAGACAATCACGCTCCTGTTAAAAATAAAATATAACATTATCAGTTGGATTGAATTTAGATACAATATAAAACATAGAGGCACATGCTCTCCAAAATATATCAGAAAAGATGTGTCGGTGGACCCTCATGAAAATGGGTCTGTAAGGGGCATCCTCAACAACAGGGATCTGGGGGGCAACTAGGCCATCCTTATCATGGTGCCCACCACTCTGGGATCCTGATCCATGTGATAGTCGACTCATTCTCTTAGAGACCGACGCCTCCATATCGTGAGACTGATGGGGGGGCTCTAGCCTGTTCGTGATGACAAGCCCTCTCGCGACGAGCAGAGACAGTAAGGGTGGGTCGCCTGATGTCGTACCCCAAATTTGTCCTACCTCGATAATTTAATTTTTCGAGATTAAAATAGAAGAAATATTTAATTAAGGATGGTACATCATTATCTGATGACCCATCTTTATCCAACTAGGGGGTGAACCTTAAATTCAAGAGAATGGGGCTTGCTAAAATCAGA